CCCCTCCCCGCCGCGATGCAAGGGGAGGGGGGGGCAACGACTCCAGGGATAAGTGACGGGGCTTTGATGGGCGCCCCCCCAGCGCGCTCACTCTCTAGGGCTGGGGACGGTGCCCTCAGAGCTCCCCGGGAGTCCCCTCCCGTGCCCGGTTCTTCCCTGGCTCGCTCCCCCCTTCCCCCGCTACCTGGCCGCTGGGGGGTGATTTGCCCGGCTCCGCGCACGGGCCGGTGATGTAATTCCTATGAAGCCCTCGCTCCGGCTGGCTGCCAGCCCGAGCGGGACTCTGCAGACACCTACCGCCTCTGCCTCGACGCCTGGCTCCGAGCGGCCGCCTCGGGAGCCGGGCGGAGCGAGCCCTCTGCTGGTGGCAAGGCGCGGTTGTGTCTCCAGGCCAAGGTGGGACTCACCCTGGAGAGTGTGTGTGTGAAGGGCGCGGAGGGGAGGGGAGGAGAAGGGAGGGTGTGTGTGTGTGTGTGTGATGGTGATGGTGGTGGTGGGGGAATTCTCTTGGAAAAGCACCATCCGCACGAAAAACAAACACACCAAATCCTTTGAGATCCTTCTCAGTCCATTTCCCCCTTCTGTGTAACCTGCCAAACCGTAAGCCGGCTGTCACCCTCTGCACTGCAACATTACTTTGAAATAACTAGCACTATTCTGAGAGTCCCCCTAGACTACAAGCCTCTTTCAAAAGAGCGCGTCTAGACTACAAGCAGATTTTCCGAAAAAGCGAGCTGCTTTTTCGAAAGAGAGTCCAGACGCTCTCTTTTGAAAAAGCACAGTTTGCTTACAATAGTGCCTTTTTTTGAAAGAGTACTTTCGAAAAAAGGCGTTATTCCTTGTAAAAGTAGGTTTATCGCTGTCGAAAACACTGCCGCGTTCTTTCAATTTAATTTCAAAAGTATGCAGCTGCAGTGTAGACATAGGTGAAGTTTTTTCAAAAAAGGTTACTTTTTTTCAAAAAACCGCTGTAGTCTAGATACACCTTGAAATAACTTAATCTCCATATATACAGCAGGCAGTTACTTTGAAATAATATCAAAATACTGTCAAGCTGGAGAGCTTCTTACTCTAATTCCTCATTGTAAAAGAAATAAGGGAAGTCAGAGGAAGAGTGCTCTATTTCGAAAAAAGTGCTGTGTAGATGGTCCCTGTTTTGAAATAAGCTAATTCAAAATAAGATACGCAATTGACGTCGTTCAATTTGCATAGCTTATTTCGAGTTAAGCCCTGCAGTGTAGACACACCGTGACGAGTTATTTTGAAATACACCCCCTTATTTCGAAATAATAAGTGGAGCATCCATGCTGGTTATTTTGAAATCTGTACTACTGCTTTCCTCAGGGCACGTCTACACAGCAGGGCAAAAGTCGAATTACACAACTTGAGCTACGTCAATTGCATAGCTCAAGTCAAAATAGTTAAACTCGGCTTTTGGCGCTGTCTATGCAGCAGGAAGTTGAAGGAAGAACACTTTTCCTTCAACGTCCCTTACTCCTCATAAAATGAGGGTTACAGGAGTCAGAGTAAGAAGACCTCCAGCTCAACATTATGGGTACGTCTACACTGCAACACTATTTCGAAATAACTATTCCAAAATAACTTAGTTCACATCTACACAGCGGGAAGTTAATTCAAAATGGTATCAAAACACTGTCAGGCTGGAGGACATCTTACTCAGACTCCTGTAACCCTCATTGTACCAGGAGTAAGGGAAGTTGGAGGAAGAGTGTGGTCTGTTTCAAAATAAGTGCTGTGTAGACGCTCCCAGTTTCACAATAAGCTATTTCGAAATAAGCTACACAAATGACGTAGTTCAATTTGCGTAGTTTATTTTGAGTTAAGCCCTGCTGTGTAGATGCACCCTATTTCAAAATAACAGCTTGAAATATTTTCAGTTATTCTGAAATAATTCTGCTGTGTAGACATAGCCTCAGAGAATAATCTTATTTTGAAGTAGTTATTTCAGGAGTTATTATTTTGAATTTAGTTATTTCAAAATAATTTCCTAGGGCACATCTACATTGCAAAGCAAAAGGAGAATTAAGATACGTAACTTCAGCTACGTTAATTGTGTAGCCGAAGTCGAAATAGCTTAATTTGGCTTTTGGTGCTGTCTGCATAGCAGGAAGTCGAAGGAAGAACACTCTTCCTTCGACTTCCTTTACTTCTCATGAAATGAGGATTACAGGAGTCGGAGTAAGAAGTCCTCCATCTCACCATTATTTCGAAATAACAGTTTGCTGTGTTGATGCGCACAATGTTATTTCAAAATAACATCAGTTATTCCGAAATAATGCTGCTGTGTAGACATAGCATAGGAGAGAAAGACAGGCACAATATAGATCAGTGCCACCCAGCATCAGGTCAATGGTATTGTCTTCTATTAAGACGTGGAGTAACATTTGTAAAGGTACGTAAGTGATTTAGGAGCCGAAGTCCCATTGTTTTTTCAAAAATGATTTAAGCTACCTCTCTTGGAATTTTGGCTCCTGAATAACTGTCACTTCTGAAAATGTAACTTAGGCACTTTGGAAAATGTTACTCTTTGACTTTAGACTCTCGTGAAAGCATGCCTTGTACAAAGAACTATTATCTCTATGCCAAACTGTGCTTTTTTCTAAAAAGTAATTTTATTTCTTTTTTAAAATGAAACAACCATTTTATAAACCCAATAACACATCCTAAGATATGCTCACTGAATACCAGATATGCTCACCTCTGGTCATTTGAACCACTCAATGTATACGCCCACACAATCAAAATGTATGTTCAAGTATGTATGTCCACATCTTTATACAATATTCCACTAGAACTGTTAAGATGGACCAGAGATACAATATATCCCAAAAGTTAAACTGTGAGGGAGATTCAGCAAAACATTTCACTTTAGTCACCTTTTAAATCTCACTGATTTAAAGTGCTTAATTGCTTTGCTCAAGGGAGACTTAATTTAATCCAACAGATGGGTGTTGCTGACAGCCTCTTAGATTATGAAACTGAAATCGTTTTAAACATTTGAATTAATTTTCACCACTGATGATGTTTGGTTTTTGCGCCAGCTTCTGCCAACTGCTCAGCATTGCTTTTGTCAAGAGGCAGGCCTGACAGAAAACCCTACAGCTGAACCATAAAGTAAGGAAGTTACTAAATCCAGATGCAGATCTGGTTTGTGCTTTGCTTCTTAGTTGAAATGAAAAATATGTTTCAGAACAACCTAAGTTACTTATATGACTCCTATTAACACAGAATCTGAGTATGTCATCACCCCCCCACAATGTAGAGAAATACCCTTATCCCCACTTTACAGAGAAGAACAGAGACTAGAGAGGCTAAGTGACTTGCCCAAGGTCATACAGGAAGTCTGTGGTAGAGCAATGACTTGAACCTGTTTCTTCAGATTTGAGGTTAGTACATTAACTGTTGTACCATCCTTGTGGTTTTGTTTATTGAGGGGTGGGAGTTTCAAAATCCCAATATGGCACCAGTTGTGTATCTCAGATCTATCTCAGCTTCTGTGTATAGTCTGCTCTGGTTCTTACATATTAGTACAATGATGCAATATTTGGGTTGCAAACCCTACAGCAGAATCTTTCACACTAAATAAAAAAGCAGGCTTTTTTATGGTGAAATTTGGTGAAAACACTTCTATTAGTATTAGGCTTTGGTAAACTTCATTTGCAGCAAGCGTCGTTTATTACATTAAGGGTGACCAGTAACTGATGGTGAGCCTGTAACTTTCATTTGTTCTTCATCCACTTTGAAGTAGGCCTCGATCCAGCAAAGCAATTAGGCAGGTAAGTGTCTAAATATGACTATCCATGTGCTTAAAGTTAAGCATCAGCTTATGCATTTTGCTGGCTTGCAGTCTTAGGGTGTGTCTAGACTACAGGGTTTTGTCGCTAAAAGTGGCCTTTTGTCGACAAAACTATACCTGTGTCTACAGAGGTAAAACTCATTTTACAAGGAATAATACCTTTTTTCGAAAGTACTCTTTCAAAAAAAGGCGCTATTGCGTGGAAACTGTGCTTTTTTGAAAGAGAGCGTCTAGACTTTCTTTCAAAAAAGCGGTTTGCTTTTTCAACAATACTGATTGTAGTCTAGATTCTCTTTCTCGACAGAGGCTTCGTTGACAGTATCTGTCAACAAAGCTTCTGTCAAAAAAGGTGTGCAGTCTACATGTAGCCTTAGATTGTAAGATCCTTCGCAGGGACGTTGTTTCTGTTTCTATTTTGACTAATCAGAATGTTTTGTAAAAATATATATAGTGATTCTACTAATCAATATTAAAGAGAGGGTGAAGTTCAACCTGGAGCTATACTGTGGAAAGGCTCTTATAGTCATATCTGCTCCCACTTGTACTAGTAAGAGTATGTGAGCATTTCTATTAGATAACTCTCCC